AAAAAAAAACACAGAAAAAGGATGAAACAAGGTGGGATTCTGGCCAGATGCATTCCTGGAGGCAAGTATCAGCTGTCCGTCTTTTTTTTTGTCGTCTGCACGCCTGTTCTCCGTGGAAAACGCTCTGCTCGTTGGCAGGGCACGAAATCAAGTGTCGGCAGCAAAAAAAAAAGACAGCACAACAAGGAACGAACCTAGCTAATAATCTGGGCAGATGCATTCGTGGAAACGGCCTACGAAAAGACGATATTTCCGCCTTTTTCGAACTTGGGCCATATCTTCATTGCCCATTAGTGTTATGTCTGCCTTTTCGAACTACGGCCATTTTTCCGTTGCCCATTAGTGTTTTTTTTGCCTTTACAGTTTGAAAGTGTGCTACTACCGCACTTGTTTCCGAGTGCCTGCAGATTCTTGTAAGGCAGTGGGTACTAATACCGCTGGCTGGGTGGTGGTCCCGTTCATCCCTATTCTTCTTCATCTCTAACCGTTGATATTCAGTATTGAATGGTCATGGACCCAAGAATTCATTATCCATGTGAGAGCATACTCACGCTCACACATTTTTACTTGTATCAGGATGGAATTGCGGGCAGATGCAGAAAGTGCCAACGAACTGAGATTTCGTTAAGACTGACAGTATTTTGTAAAATCACGAAATTGAATTCAGTGAAAGGGAACAACAAAGACCCGAAGGGACAGAGATGACAAGGCAGGAAACACCAGGAGACCCTCGACGGATCCACCGGCTCTGAGCTCCACGGTGGAGGCGAAGGGGGACGCTCTGCCTCAAAGGAAGGATTTACCTGACACTGCGAAGCACTGGAGGCTATACCATACAAAGCAGAAGATACAAAAGAGCGGTGGACTGTCAAGGACGGAAGTTGGGGGAAAGGAAGCCAAGCTCGGCCACAGGTGCCACGGCCCAATTACAAAAGAGGCGGCTTTGGACCACAAGTCTGAAACAGTTTGACAGGCTGGGCCTATGTGTTGAGAAAAGTGGAGAAAATAAGGGCACGCTCAGTTTGACAGGCTGGGCCTATGTGTTGAGAAAAGTGGAGAAAATAAGGGCACGCTGACACTGCCGTACCAAAACCGCATATTCTTAAAAAATACGGATGCCTGATTTGGGGATATAGTGGCGGCACCAGTCACACTGTGTCCCCAAACCACCCATTCCACGGTCGCGGTAGGTCGGCCAGTGCGAAATTGCGGAGGTCGCCAGTCACACGGCGCCGACCCTTTTTCCCTCAATTGCTTTTCTTTTTTTTTTTTTTYTTCGTTGTTCAGGGACTCGCTTCTCGCGTCTGACCGGCCGACAAGGTCACCCATTTGCCCAAATCCTCATTTTCAATTGATATGGCGCCCATATCTTGCCATTCCATTCTCAAGTCATTTCTGAAAAAAAAAAAAAAAAAGAATAAGGTTTTTGCGGTAACCTCCTGAGGTTACCGCAAATTCCCAACCCCCGCGGCCTCTCAGGCCGCTGACAAAAGGGTTCGGGAACAAGTGCTTTGCGAAATTGTGCACCCAGTGTGACTACCCCTCGACCCCATTTTTTGGGGATTGTGGGGAATATGCGGTTTTGGTACGGTGAGCGTGCCCTAAGTGTAGGACGTTTACTTCATTGGAAAAACTTCTTGATTTTTCTAGACTCCGGGACCTCAACACCTCCGAGCACCTCTCAGGCAATCAATGGCCGTGACAGCATTGCATTAGGTTTCCAAATCCCTCTCGCTGTATCTGCTTGTTCACATTCATGACAAATTGTTCAGGGACGCTGGACAGGATTTCCAAGCAGGTGCTGCTCCCCACCAATAAACGGAGCCT